TTCAATTTTTTATGCGGATAATTTTAAGATATTTTTAGCATAAAAAAAAATTTAACAAACTTTTATAAACTTCCTAAATTAAAAGTCAAATTCATTCATCAAACCATTATTTAGGACACAATTTAGGTGGCTAAAAGTTAAATTTTAATTTTTCACGAGAATAATTTTAATATATTTTGTAGACTATGATTTGTAATTGTTTAATTTTATAATAAAAATGAATAATTTATTTATTCATTTAATTTTAGTTTAAATTTTTCACGAGAATAATTTTAATATATTTTGTAGACTATGATTTGTAATTGTTTAATTCTATAATAAAAATGAATAATTTATTTATTAATTTAATTTTAGTTTAAATTTGAATGATTTAAATTTAAAATGATTTAGATTTCATGCGATTAAAATAACTTGATTTATCCATATGTAACAATTACAATTTTTTCACTATTTATGAAAGGTTATTTCATTCTCATAAGTAATACAATTTTATTTAGAGTAAATTTTTTTTGGACAATTTGATAAAACATCAATTAAACAATACCAAAATGAAAAATTGTTTTTACATTTAAAATTTTGAATCTTAACCCTATATTAACAAAATTAATGCTGCTAATATTCATTTAATATTTTTAAATATTAAGAATTATGCAACGATAGATCCAAAATATTACTACTTGTATATAAATATACTTAAAAGGGTATGAAAAATATCTTCCATCAAATCAAACAAAAGTTTATTCTAAAAGTTTTAGTATTTTTAATAAATAAATAAATAAATCTCGAAGCTCCCGCCGTTTGACTAACAGTACTGTCATTTTCAGTAAGTAAATCTTGGTCCGACCCCTTCTTTTTTATTTTAATTAAATATACTTCTTTATAATTACCCTTTTTGGCGGGAAAATTTACTGAACCCGATTTGATACTGGGATGTAAATCCGGGACCTTAACGTGCCGTTATAACGGAGCTGAAACTTTTTAAAAACTTTTGTAAACGGTGAAAAATGATGGCCGTTAAGAGAGGCGGGGATAAGATGAGGAGTAGGGACATAAAGCAGCAGAATCTGTGTGCCACATCATCCAAGACCAGATTCTATGATTTTTGCACGGTGGGGATTATGATCTTCTCACCTATAAGTTCACGGGGATTTTGTGACACCGGTTAGATGGCGAAATTAGGGTTCATTAGTAATTATTCGACGGCGCATATCATCTGTTATCATTATAGTCTAATATAAATTACAATCTATAAAAAAAAATTATGTAAAGTTTACAGTATAATGTACTCTATATAATTTTTGATTTAAAATACTCGTTTATTAAGCAAGGGAAATAAAAGGGTGCTTTAAAATTATTATTATGATTTTAATGGTAAAGGTTTATAATATGGTACCTATAAATTTTTTCAAATTAGGACTATTAATTAATAATTATATTTTTATATTTTAGATCAACAAATATTGATTCTTATAAAAAATAAAAATATCAAGAATTATTTGAAGAAAAACAAGATTCTTTAAAATTAAAATAGATCCATTGTATTTTTTTTCGTGAAATAAAAAAACGATATTTGTTGAATAGTTTCAAATTTAATACTAAAAAAAGAAATATAAATGAAAGTTTAAATTCTTAATAAATTCAAATATAAAAAAATTAATATCTTTTATTTAGATTTGTAAATGAAAAAATGATTTGTATCGTTAATAGTACAAGATTGAATTATAACTTACAAGCAATAACTTACTTTTGTTTTCATCGAAACAGTTTTTTTTTTTTAAACAAAATCAAGAGAACAGGTAGTCACGCGTTTGAAGGGTACATACAGTATATCTATTTCGATATTTTTAACCTAACATTTGTTATAGTTAAATTTGTTTTAAGGAGTGGGCTTGCTGACTAATCTTGTATAGTTTGTGAGAGTGATGGGGATTTGTGGCACCCAACTGGTTATAAAAGAAAATCAACAAAGGACCAAGATGTTTTTGACTATCTTACTCTTATGCAAAGGGAGGAGGAAAAACCTAATGATAATCATAACAAATAATGCATGGAGGGATATCCTAATCATTATGTTTTCCCCTTTTAATTAGTGGCCATAAACTGCGGCTGATCAGGGTCATGTAATTGAAGACTGTGAGAATGTGATTCTACATGCAATTTTTTTCAAATAGCAAAAAGAAATATATATATATATATATATATATATATATAAATCATAAGTGGGACACCAATCACCATTTTTCTTCACTCAAGTATCGTTGAAATATCTATATATTTCTAAAAGTTAAGTAACGGACATTGCAAAAGGGGTATTGGTTCAGTTGTCACCCTCGTACATGACATTCCTAATCCAATTTGGCCAAAAAAAAGAGTTTGAAAGTTATTTATATGTTGGGTTTACCCAACATGGAAGAAATATCTATTTGCATCAATGAGACTTTGCATCTCTCAGAAATTGCAACTGCTTTTTCCTAATGTTTAATTTTGAATCACATAAAATTAATTGTACTATATTTTTTTTCATAAATCAAAATTTAAGGTTTTTATTGATTTTATTGGTATTGTAAGATTTTATTTTTCAAATACAAAAGATTGTATAGTATCACAAATCAACAACTATAACTCTTTTATGCTTGGTACTAACTTTGAATATCTTGGGGAAAATCTCAATTGGAGTATTTGTCTTAATTTGATTTTAATTAGGAAATTAAAAATTTTATCATCGATGTATAAAATAATAATTTATTACAAATTTTATAAAAACATCAACATGTTGTCCATTTAGTTAATTTTTGCGTTTAAAATAGTTCCTAAACATGATTCTATATCTAATTCATTGCTTGAAGAGTTCCTTGTAATTATTGCATTGTTGCTCATTTTTCTCTAATTCCACCATTCATAGGCTAAGCAATATTTAGCACAATCCATCCAATCCAAAGCAGTGACTTAAACGGTATCTATCATGAGTTTTCAATTTTGCCATTATACCAAAATTAGACCATAGACTTTGACTTTATGCAAAGTCGTTTGCTCTCCCTTTAAAGGGTTGAAGACTTGCAATTTTTGAGTGCCAAGCATCAACCCACAAACTCACACATTGGACCCTTTTTATCAGTCATTTATTTAATTTTTTTTATGGGTTATCAGCCAATCGAATAACCAACAATCAAATTTAGAGTTTAATTCAATTAGTTTATATGATTATTTTCAAAGATAATATTTGATAAATTTAAAATTCAAATATCAATACTTGTAAAATTAGAATTCCTTCATTTTATTTTCAAAATGCAATATCTTATGGTCAAAAAAATAAAAAAAATAAAAACCTTACTTTTTAGAAAATCATGTATTAATTATAGAATTAAATGTTATGAGATTTGAAAGAATAAAACCATGTATTTCCAATAATAAATTTTTAACCCTAAGGTTAAAATATTGGTTAATTTCTCAAATTTTCTTGTCCTTAATTTTACCAGCTTAAATGGATTTCATCATTTACTCCAACTCTGAAAAACAAAAGTGATATACCAAGTTTGTCTTTTAACATTTTACTATTTTCACTTTGTTGAAAGGCGCTCCATTTGGTTGGATGATGATGGAAATTGATTGTCATGATTATGAAGAAAGAAGCAGAAGAGTTTGAGGTGGAAATCCTTTTGGATGGATGGCATGGACTTAGAGAAGCTTTGATTGACTTCAAAGTTCTCAACCTTACTTCATTGGCAAGTGACTACTTACTACCATTTCATTGATTGATTCATGATATACTATTGTACAGATAATTGGTGACAGAGAAACCGAGTTTTTTAAATCATAATTTTTTACTATGTTCTTGGTGAAAAAAATTACTAAAAAAAAAAAAAATCATGATATAGATTAAATTGACTGTAAATTGTTTATTTTTTTATATGTATAAAAATTGAGATAAGAATTTAATTTGTCTGTTTTGTTTTATATTATTGGAGTATGACTCATCACAAATCCTTTATTACTGGAAAAAAAAAAGTTGGAAGGTTACTGCCTTTTTTTTTTTAAAATTTCTTTATACTATATTTATAGCATACGTGACTCATACTAGCTTAACATTAGAAACAAGAAATAACAAGGCATGAATGAAAATTCTTGTCCAAAGAATAACATTATTTCATGAAATACTTAGAATGGAAATGAGATGTGCTCAGTGTCTTCTTTTATATCAACATGATTTTTTTTGTCAATATTTTTAACTTATTTATAGTAATTTTGTTATTAAATATGGATTACTTATACTTACAAACTTTAATTAACTCTATATATAGCAAATTTAAAATCTTGAACACTTCACCCTATCTAAGAAGAAAGTGATTGTCATCAGGAAGCAAAAAAAAAAAAAAAAAAAAAAAGCATGAAAGATGGATAGAAATGCAAGATTACCAAGTATGGTAAAATTTCAGCCATACAAGATAAAGAACATAGTGATCCTAATAGGGTAATACCCAAATTACTAAACAGTCTTTCAAAATCTTACCTACCAAAATCCACCTCAAAAAAAGTTAAAAAAAAAAAATCTTCCAATTTTTTAAGTTGTAATTAAGAATAAAAAAATTATAAATATTAAAATTTGAAGTTAAATATTATATCTTAAAAATATTACATAATGCAATTAAATTAAATTGTAAATTCAATTTTCCTAGCTCTTTAACCAGTTTATTATTCAAAATTTGAAAAACATTAAAAAGCCATCAATTATGTGAGGAAAGGATTTAAAGAATTTGATATAAACGGAAAATTTAACCACAAAACAATCACCTAAGTGAACCCCAATTATTAGTACCAAAAGTTTTGAATTACTGGAGTAACAAATAAAAGTAGTAAACAAATAAGTGGTTTACTGTTAATTAAGTTTGTAATTAACCAAAAACATGGCAGATGGCAGGTGTATTGCAAAGCATGACAAATGTCTCCAACCACTGGGCCACTCCTCTCCCGTTGTTTACACATCTTTACATTGCCCTTTGCTCCCTCACACCCCCTCCCAAAAATTTTTCAATTTTTATTTTATTGTACTTTTTAAATTTCCCATTTTTTAAAGCTTCCTTCTTCTGTCTCAACGTGACCCTGAATCCTTGATAAAAACAGCTTGTCTTCCACATTCTCTACTTCTCTCTTCTCCCCTTCCCTTCCCTTCCCTTTCCTCTCTCTCTTTCAAAACCCAAACTTGGCCTCATTATTAAGTCTTCTCTGCCAAGCATCACTTCTCTTCAGTTACCCTTCCTTTCTTTCCTTGTATTTCCTCTGTTTTCCTCTCTTCTATTTTTACTCATGGCTGAGCAGATAGATGACGCTGAGTTTTGGCTTCCGGCGGAGTTTTTAGCCGATGATGATATTATTATGGAGAAAGAGAATCTTAAGAACAAAAACGGTGGCAACAACAAGGCTGAGTTGTTGATACCGAGTCATGGTTTCCCAACTGAGTTCCCTTACGAATTGGACTCCTTCTCTGCTCTCAGTTCCCCTGTTGAATCCGTTGTTGGGTCTACTGAGACTGAGAGCAGCGACGAGGATGAGTTTCTAGCTGGGTTGACTCGCCGACTCGCTCACTCAACGAGTCAGAAATTCACTGTTCCTAACCTTTCCCTGGACAAAAACGAGGTAAGATAGTTAATTGGTTTTTCTTTTTGACCATTTTAAGCTTTGATTTTTTTTAATTATTTTTTGCGGTATTAAATTTGGGTTCTTTTTGGGATTTTGATTCAGAAAACTAGAGTTTTGGCGAGTTCGCCACAGTCGACTCTGAGTGGGCTAGGAAGCTGGTCAGCATCAAGCAATGGCAGCCCAAATGGCCCTTCTCAAGTTCCTTCCCCTCCAACAACTCCTTTCGGTGCCCAAAATGACACTTGGGATCTCATATATGCCGCGGCTGGCCAAGTTGCAAGGCTAAAAATGTGCAATGAAGCAACCAAATATACCAACTTTAACCATGGAAGAGGCCTTGTCAAAACACAAAGTCGTGGCTTTATGAAGAACTCAAGCTCTGGACTGTATTCAAGTCAGAGCCTTTCTTATAACCAAGCTCAAACAAATCAGGTAAGGTTGGTTTTTAAGTTGAAGTTTTGAATTTGTTTTTGTTGTAACTTGAAAAAACTTGGGGTTCTGATTTTTCTGATCTGTTTTTAGGCTTATGGGGTTCTTTTTCTCTGGTTTTGTTAGTATCATGGAGGGCAGGAATATGTGTTAAAACCCCAGTGCGGAGCTGTTTGGGGAAGGCAAGTGAAGGCAACAAGCAACCGGCAAGCACAGCTTCAACAACAACAGAAACTCCAGCAGATCCAGAGTAGAACGAGGAGCAATGTTGTTGGGGGGAGACCCTTGGGGTTGCCTCAATCTTCATGGCCTCCACTTCAAGTTCAATCTCAGCAGCAACGGCCTCAACAGAACTCTGGTTCTGGCATGAGAGCTATGTTCCTTGGTGGATCTGGTAGTATTAAAAGAGAGTGTGCTGGAACTGGTGTTTTCTTACCTCGTAGATATAACAATAACGCTCCTGAACCTCGCAAAAAATCAGGTACTGAAAACAAGGCTTCCAACTTTCTTTTGGGTTCTTATAGACCCTCGAAACAACTTGTATATTTGGTTTTCAATTTTGTACTCAGTGTTAATGAATAATTGGGTTTTTTTCTTCGTTCCTTTTTTTTTTTTTTGTTTCAAACAGGTTGCTCAACGGTTCTACTTCCGGCAAAGGTTGTTCAGGCTTTAAATCTGAACTTTGATGATACCAACAGTCATGTTCAGCCACATTTCGATGTCAGCTTTGCATCAAACTATGGTGAGCCTAGGACACCAGTTTTGCAATCCCAAGCCTAATTTATTAATCAATGTTAAACTCCTGGTTACTGATTCTGATGGTTCAATTTTGTAGATGCTTTGGTAGCCAGAAGAAATGCGCTTTTGACACAAGCAAGAAGAAATTATAGACCAGAGGGAGGCCTAAATCTGCCCCAGGAGTGGACTTATTGACCTCTGGAAAAATTAGTCCAAATATCTCTAGATTCTCTCAAATAGTGCTTGTTTTGTTGGAGAGATTCCAGTATAGTAGGGTTAGTTTTTTTCTGATAGGTAAATGGTGTTTTGGTTTATTATATAGGAAAGGAATTCGAGAATGTGACTGTAGTTTAGGAAATAAAAGAGTATCAAGTTAACAGATCTTGGGTTTTATATTTTTATCGAAGGAGATTTGAAGATTTCAGCTTTTGGGAATTTAGCTGCAAGTAGAACAATATATATAGGTAACAAATAGGGGAGGGGGATGGCTTTTATATATATATATATATATATATATAATTTTGTTGTAATAAGAAGTGGGTTTTTATTCTTCTAGTTTTATGAGGGGAATTGGGTTGTATTTGGATGTGGGAAAAGAAAAAACAGATTTGTACAAGAAAAATTCACAACCCTCTTTTTAAACCTCGGCAATTAATATAATATATATTACTACTAAGAAATGCTGTTTATCATATTAAGTTATTTGAAATGCTTGTTCTAAATGCATATTTTCTTTAGCCATAAAGTCAGCCAAGTCCAATCATATCAATCCTTTTTAATAAAGGGTTTGAAAAATCAAGACCTGTAAAGTATAAAGAGAAATTAGTTCATTGAGTTTTTAAATTTTATTTATAGAATGATATAAACTCAAGTATTTTTAAAATATAAAAATAAAGAATTAATTATAAAATGTGATATGTAATTTTATTTGTGAATTTAAAAAATTACATTAACAATGTATAAATATGAACTCTAAATATAAAAATAGAGCATGAAATTGATATGGGATTTGCCTTGAATTCAATCTTTTCCTTCTCCTTTTCCTTTTACATGAAATGAACTTGATAAAATTCAATAAAAGAAAATTCCTTCTTGTGCTGACAATAATCATCATCAGCCAAGCTAATGCTCATCGTCATCATCATTAGATAAAAAGTTGAAGGCACAAAAGCATGAAGAAGTTGCTTTGCTTCAGCGTGAAGCAGCGGTGGTGGGGACAATGACAGGAAGAAGGGGTAGAAGACAAATTACAGGGGGAAAAAAAAAGAATATAGGATGAAATTTGCCGTACGTTTTCGCCTGAACTTTTATTGGGCCCCATATATTTTCTTTTTAGCTTAAAATACAAATTTAATTTTTTTGAAACGCTTTTGTTAAGCAGTACTAGCGCACATATAATTTTAGGATAAACTTTTCCTACATTACTTGTAGTTCGTAATTTTTTCATTTACATTTATGTGAGTTTTTTATTTATAATTTATTTTTTATATTAAAAAGGGATAATGACATTAAAAATTAATCAAAATTTAGTAAAGTTGTAAAAATTCTCTCATTTTTTTAATGCTTTTACCATTTTTGATATCGAAAGTAAACTTTAGGGTTGTAAGTAGAAAAAAATTCACAAGGACATAAATGGGTAAGCTGCAAAATACACAAGGTGCATATAAAGTTTACTATTTGTAGATGATTTTTGGGTACGAGTGAGTTGAATGATGATCCAGAGATTATGTGGGTAATGACTTATACTTGTAATAAGAAAACAAGATTAAGAGACATTGGAATTGATTTTTCATGATGTGTTCTGATACTCAAGTCTATCAAGTGTTATGGGTTTTTGGAGGAATAAGATGAATTGCATAGAGTGTGTAGGAAGCGTAGATAAGAAGAGTTTCAAATTACTATACTTGGATCTCTTTTTTACCTTATATTTGAGATAATAGGCGACAACATGACCAAAGTTGTTGACATTTGATAGGAAGTTCATGTGGAGCTCAAGGAATAAGGTGAATTGCATATAGTACATAAGAAGCTTAGAGGATAAAGTTTCGAATTACTGTATTTGGACTTCCTTTTAACCTTATATATGAGACAATGGATAGTGATGTGACCAGGGTTGTTGACAGTTGATGGAAAAGTTTGTGTGAAGCTTAAAAAAGGTCTATGTTAGTGAGTGTAGGCTGTAATGATCCCAAGCTAGTGTGGGTTGCATTTAATGATTTTTGACAACTTAGACACAAGTTGGTCATTATGAGGTGATGTCTTGATAGGATGTTAGTAGTGGTAGTTGATGACCTTATCCATGAGCAAATGAGTGGATGTGAGTCTATATTGTGGTGAAGAGTCTTGATGTCAACCCTCTTTCAAGGTGATGTGGCAATTAGGTGCATATTGACTTGGCAAGAGTAGAGGTTGACTTTGTTGATTAAGTGGATACGTATAATAATTGCCTCTAGTTTGAAGGGGGTTATAAAAATCACTCTCAGACCTTTACATGGTCGCTTCATCAAGATTTAGTGAATAGTTCAAGTTGGGGGACCTCATTTTAGTGAGTTTTTTTAAGGGTGTGTCCATATTGGTTGATAGACTTTGTGTGGGTGAGCTATGTTGATGACATGTCACTATTGGGTAAGAACTCTATTTTGACAAGTTATGCTGATAATGTATTTTTGTTGGGCGAAAGACTTTATCTTGGTAAGGTGTACTAATGGCATATCCCTGTTGTTCAAGGGATTTTGTCTTGGCAAGCATTATTACTGATATGTTATGTCAAGGCACAGGAGATAATAGGTGAGGACTTAAAAAAAATTTCCTATTCTGAACATTGTGCAGTGCACATGGTGCGAGTAATTAGAGTATGTCTTTGGGTGTATTTTGAGGCACACGCCTGTGTTGTTGAGTTATTTGGTTGTACTAGACACGTAGTGTAATAAGGTTGAAAAGTTATCAAGAATAATTAATGTTTTTAAATTTTAAATTGTACCAGTTTAGTTAAAGGGGAATGAATGTGTTTTTTAAAAAATCATGTAATTAAAATGTCAGTCTTAATTGGAAAATCAATATGGACCATTTTCTAATTGGTGCAAACAATTTTTTAATTTGTATCGCTTCAATAAAGATGTTTGACTGAGTATAAATAAGGGAGAAAAAGGGATTTAAAGTCACATTGTCAATTTTTTGAGCAAGAAAAGTAGTTTATTGTTTGAGTTTTATAAGTGTTGTGCATTTGTTATTGTTCTCAGAAATTCTTGTAAGTAGGTAAATTTCTAAGTTTTCTTTGTGTTTTATTTATGGGTTGAAAATGGCACAAAAGAAGAGGGTTGTGATTGAGGATTGAGTGATGATGATGGCCTTATGGTGTGAGTTACCAATAGTGGGGCTTAAGGTAAGAAAGAATAGATATGAGGGAGAGACCATAGAGCTCAAAGGTTTTAAGAAATTGATGGTCGTGGTCATGGCATAGCGATTTGAAAGATAGATGCTCCTGATTCTAGGGTAAATACTCCTTGTGGCAATAAAGAAAATGAAAAAAAATATGGTTATGGAAGAGCCAAAAAACCTTTAGTCGAGGACTTGGCCACCAAAAGTGTATCCATCTATGACCACAACTAGGTCTTGGATCTATGGCTTTCAACCTAAGGAACTCAATGTTTTTTTTATTTTTTACCCCCTGAAGGTTTCATAATTACTTAAGTAGGGGTAAACAAAAGGCTGACGGGGTTTTATTTACATAACTTTCATCATAGGTGTCTCTTGCCATTGTATCATTTCTTCTATTTGGTGCTAGTCATCTTTAATTTGATTATATCTTAGTTGGTGCCCAATGCTTGAGGGATATTGATGACCTACTTCATCTATTATCGATTAAGAAAGTAGGTCCCTTATGTGAATACGATCTTGGCACTATACATGTTGAAATAGATCAATAGGTGGCTTTATTATCTCAAAGCTTATGGGCAGTTGTGTGTGACAAATCTATTTTCCTATAGCCATCCCAACCATGATAAGTTTATGGTGCCCCTTACAAAAACACTTAACATTTAGTTTCCTTTTAAGATTAAGTGATTTTATGCCAATGTATTGGTAAGGGGAACTTTAGAGCTTGGAGTGGATGAGGCCAAGTAGGTGATCATTTTAAATGACAAGAAGCTAGCTTATGCCTCGATAGCCACTTGTGAGAATATCTATTATTATTGTTTCATCCTAGACGAAGGTCAAGGATTGGCTGTTGTCATATAAGAGTTGTTAGAGCTAGGAGAAAAATAGGATAGGGATGATGAAACCAGAAGAAGAGTTAAGAGAGCCAACCCTCATACCTAAGAGGAAGGAGGACTTAAGTGGGCAAACGTGTAAGTTAGTTATTTGCATCTTGCTTAATTTATTGGTTAGACTATATGACTTGGATCTATATTGATATTATTTTGTTGTGTTTAGTATTATAGTGAAAAAGGTAATAGTAAATGTGATGAAGTCTTGATTCGTCAAGGAAGCAGCATGCTAAAGAAGAGCTCAGCTATGGTTGTTATTGTTGGTGTATATGAGGTATTGGTGCATAAAGTTTTGTGAAGGCCTTAAGTGTTGGTATCGGTCGGGGTTGTGGTGGTGTTAGGTAAAAGTGGATCTATGGGGTTAAGATTTGGCATGCCAAGTGTTGGGGTCATGGATGAAGGTAATTGCATTATGTTTTATTTTGCTTGATCATGGTGAGTTGATTCTAATGTCTTTGTTTTTTTTTTTTACATAATTGCATTATGCTGCCAAAGTTAAAAAAATCCTATAGTAGGAAAAGTAGAAAGGAAAGAGGTCATTATAAGTTAGTCTCTTTCTTTCGAAAAAATAAGCTATGGGTACATCTGGCATGTCTAGTAGTGCAATTTCAATCAGTGGGGTTCAACCCTTGGCACCAATTGTGGAGCCCTTTGTGCCTATTATCATAACATCCAGTGTTTCCTTTCCTACAAGGACTATAGGCATAGATCTTCTATATTCACTATAGGCGTGACAAATACTCTTCCTATGTTAAGGTTGCCCATCTCTAATGCTACCTCTACTATATTTTTAACTGTGCCACCAGCTATGGTGACTCATTTGGTGGTAGTGAGCACAAACATCAATATCTTTTTAAATGAGAAGATGGATGCTGCTTTTATGGTTAGGCATTCAAGCGAGAGGTTAGGTAAGATGTCTGCCTTAAATTTTAAAGTTATTAGCGATCGACTAATCAAAATATTTCTTATTAAACAATTTATTTGTGGGCTACAACTAGTCTATCTCCTTTCACTAAAGAAAATATGTAGTAGTGTCTAATTCTTAACAATTTCCAAAATGAGCTCTTGCTTACTGTTAAGGTAAGCATTAAGAGAAGTTGGTAATTTGTACTTGTAGGTTACCCTTATGTGTTATTGTTGATTATAATTATTTATTGTTGTGTAGTCTTTGGCGAATAAAGTGGGCTTGTATAAACAAATGTGCCTACTAGTAGAGGATTTTCAGTGCAAGAAAAAGATCCTGTAAGAGAAACTAAGGTACAGGTTGATGAGGACACCTTGCTACATGAAAAAAATGCTACAATAAGGGCCTAAAAATGCTGACTACTGTTTAGATAGAGTCTTACCCGTTGTCGAATGATAAATGGTTCTGATTGCCTAGAGTATT